CACTTGTGTTTGCATATATTTTAATTAAGTATTTATATTTGCCATGCAGCTACTGCCATTTCTCTGTTTCCATGTTACAGTGCCACCATTTGACCAAACAGCATCAAACTTAGCATGTTAAGCTACCCCAGGTGCATGATTTACAGATGTATGTCAAATTTTGGGAAAATTGGTCATCCATCCATCCATTTTCTATACCGCTTTATCCTCTGCAGGGTTGCGGGGGGGGTGGGGGCTGGAGCCTTCACAGCATCTAGGGCCGCAGGCGGGGGACACCCTGAAGTGATGGCCAGTCCATCACGGCTGAAATTTGGTCATTTTGTGCATAATTTATTTAACTGAAAATAAATTAGGCTAATAATGATTCATTTATAAGGTTGCCATGTTGATCAAAGTTCATCGTGTTTTTGATATTGATGGTAATGTATTTGATTTATTTATCCTGTCTTCTGTGACTGAGAGAAAAACATGTCCAACAAGTTTTGTGACAATTGGCCATTGTTAACTTTATATTTTGGCCACTGAAATCTGATTTGCTGACTTGGCTTTAAAATATGCAGTTGTCCTCATGAACCCACTTGTTTATGAGTCCAGAGGTATTGCATACAAATACATACAATTTAAATAATCATTAACTCTGAATTCAGCTTGACAAGACAGACTACATGCATGTCCAACTTGATAAAGATTGGGGGAAACCTAGGAGTAGTGTACAATATCCAATACCTAATATGATGTATAACTTTCCTTGTAGAATTAATGGGGAATTTCTAGGGCTGAGGAGTTCATGGATATGAAACAACTGTTTCTGACACGCATGGTTTAGGAAAAGCTCAAATATATTTTGTTTTACTCTACAACCACCAATTATCTAATTCATGTGACTTTTTTTAAATCCACGAGTAACTTTTAATACAAATGAAAAAGTTTCAACCATTTACAATTTCCACTCTTTAGCAGTTTCAGCTTTAAGGTGGAACAAATTTCTGTTATAATAATAATGGTCATGGTGACAGAAACCAAGGGGTTTCCTGAAAAAAGTATTGGCTAATAACTAGATACCTTGTCTATTGGATCTTTTCTGCAGGGTTCAGAAGAAGAGGAGAGAGAGGAGATCAAGGAAAACAAAGTTGAAGAGCAGAGTAAAGCAGACGATTCTGATGATGAATCTAGTGTGGAAGAGAACGGCAGTCCTCTAAACAGCAGCGAGGAGGAAAAACTTGCTGGCAGTAGTGACAGTCTGAAGGATTTTATTGTGGAGGAAGATGAACGGAAAAAGGATGAAGATCAGGAGGAAGAGGGGGAGGCCAAAGACAAGACCTTTCTCTCTCACCTTCCACGCCAGTGTAAGACCACGTGATTCTGGCTTTTGTTTTGCTTACAATTTGGAATCCCACTATGTGCAGATGTGCCTGTAGCATTTAAGTTAATTTGAAAATCTCATTTCCCATTTTCCCATCTCACTTCATTTCCCCTCCCATTACAGTTATCACAGGATCTCAGCTCACCCACTTTCACGTGGTGGTCAAAGCCTTGCTGATCAATGTACTGGACTCAAGCTTCCTCAAGTCACTTTACAGTATGTTCATCAAGTTATTCCTTATCTTCTTAGCACTGGATGTAGAGCACTTTCTATAAGATACAGAAAAGGCATTTAGAATTTTATAAAAGATTTCTATTTCAAATAAATGCTGTACTTTTGAAACTTCCATTCATTTAAGATTTATGAAAAAAGTATGTAATATCATGGTTTCCACCAAAATATTAAGCAGCACATCTGTGCAATATATGAATATTCAACAATGAAATATTTCTTGAGCACCAAATCAGCATATTAGAATGTTGTCTGAAGGATCATGAGACGCTGAAGACTCGATTAATGGCTGCTGAAAATTCAACTTTACCATCACAAGAATAAATTACATTTTAAAATTGTATTACAATAGAAAACAGTTCCTTTAAATTGTAAGAATATTTCACAATATTAATGTAATTTTATTTGCATATATTTGATCGTATAAATGCAGCCTTCAGAAACATTAAAAAGTCTTACAGACCCCATACTTTTGAATGGTAGTGTATATCTGACTTTGTGTCAATGACTGCAGGTGGTGAGCGAACGAAACGATACGCCCAGGAGATGAAATCATCATTGCTTCATTTTGATGAGCGACTGGTTCTTCCACGTCTGGAGAACCTGAAGCAGAGGAGCCGCTGGAAAGACCGTTACAAAGTAAGCCCTTTGTGTTTGTATTTTTCATGAAAAGATGTCACATTTCTAAGTGATTGCTTTACTATTAGTCACTTGTATGTGAAGTTTAAAAAAACATTGTGTTGTGGTGCAGATTTGTTTATCATTTTCGTTTATGAAAAGGAAAGGGTTGAATGTTATCCCAAATTGCGGGTAATGATGACAAGGGTCCAGACGAAGGGATGTGAAGCCTGTGAGCTTCATCGAACGGGACGCTTCACTGTGCGCCTCTCTGGCCAGTTGTACCACAACAACTCCCTGCAGGAGGACCAGTTCATGCCTGATGATTCCCAGGTTGTTTTCCATGCAAATCACATATACAATTTAACTATAAATTGATTTGAAGACTAATTTCGAGCACTTGTTGATGGAATATTTATTTAACAATTGCAGAGTTTCTTTGTTGGCTCTGTCTGTGCCAGTCGTACCGAGGTCTACCATGCCCTAAAGCACTTTAAATACCATCTGTTTGAGAGGTGTCACACAGCTTTAGAAGCTCAGAAGGAAATACAGGAAGGAGATACAGGAGAGGATGGCGAACCAGTTAAGGACACAGTCAACAAAGTTTTTACTAAACTGCAGGATGGAGGATGGATCAGTGAGGTGTGAATATGTAACCTTCTTTTATGTGTCTTTAAAAGCTCTTTAAATATGTATGAGCAAACTGATTCCTGTTTTCTTTCTATCCATTTAGCAATATGAGAAGTTTCAGGAACATCTCAATTCTGCTGATTTCTTCCAGGAAGAAAAGCTGGACTGAAAGTGTTGAATTTTTACTAATGGCATAGAATATGCAGTTTTATTTCTGTAAATATATATATACATTTTTTGTCGTATGAAGCATGGCTAACTTTTGAGTTGTTAAAGTGTGTGCCCTTAAGATCTAGCATTTTAATTTTATAATTATACTACTGTGTAAATTGCTTCTGCATGATTGTTATAAATTCAATCCTGAGAATATACAAACAATAATACAACCCAAAATGTAACAAATTTCTCAGAATCGTGAGGATTAAAAAAGACAAGTGTATTTTACACTGAACGTTGTGCTTTCAAAGATCTGTTTGCTATTTTTATGCCTTCATTTATAAATAATCCCATTCTAATGCTTCCGTGTAAATGCATCCGAGCAATTTAGCAGTGTTTCAATGTTCTTTTAATAAACAAGATTCATAACCAGGTTCTGTTTTGCAGCACAATTTCTGAATTCAAGTTTTACATTTTATTAGAAACTGCGGTCAAACAATGCATATAACACAATCTACAGGTTTGGGTGAAAATAGCGCAGAAACGGCATCCTCACAGGACACCAAGCTTGTATTCGGTCATGATGTGAGGATCGCCCATTATCTCACTCAGGACCGGATCTGGGGGAAAAAATGCACATGAGACCTAGTATGCTGCACAAAAGTAGCTGTCAAAATCTCCAGCAATCATCAGTGCCATATTTGTATAAAGCAAAACCATGCAAGGAACTAAATAGGTCATAACTTTGCAGACTTAAAAGGTAGCGTGCGAGTAATAACGAATGTTTCTTCATACCATTAAGGATGTCCTGAAAGCCAATGGAGTCATCAGTACCTCTGAGGGTATCCAGGGCCAGATTTGAGCTTGGCAGGAAGGGCAAACGCTGAATCTGAAAGCAAGCAAGTGAAACATTTAAATACAATAGTCTTCCATAATGAGTATAGGGTGTTTACAGTATAATTTACATGTTTATGACACTTGCTCACAATACCTGTCTAGCCGCTCTGTACTCCATCTGTAGTTTGAGGGGAGCGTGGAGACCCTGGATGTTCCTTAGTGTGTTGAAATTCATCTTGTCCTGGTTAAGCTGAAACTGGTTTCACACAATACAAGCTGGTGTTACACTTTATTTTAGGGTGTCCTTGTTACATTGTAATTACAAAATAAGTATAGAGCAACATTAAAGAACACATACAGTTACTACAGTGTTAGCTGCTTGTAATTATGCAGTAAAATAACCTTTAACCCAAACTGGTTATAAACCTTTACAGCACGTGACACTGTGTTCTACTTAAAAGCTCGACAATAATAAGCACTGTTGGTTTCAATACACACATTAATTTATTATTTATTTTTATAAGTTCTGAGGCTTATGTATGATAATGCACTGATACCTATATGACGTAAAAATTTGTTTTTTTAATGTTTGTATATTTTAAATAGTCTACTTTTTACATATTTGAAATGTATTACAATTAGTACTATTGTATGTAATTAAAAATTGATGTAATATATTTTTGTACTTAAGATGGTACTTACATCATTGTACATTTCTAGATTTTGCAAGAGCATTACCCCCCATCATTTCTCCCCCATGTATTTATACATTTAGATGTCTTTTGTAGGATCATGTACATTATCAATGCACTCAAGAATCCAAATCTTAGATTCTACTCACATTTTTCTCAGAAAGCTCCAATGGATGACTTGGTAGCAGCTCATTCTTTACGCTTGAGAACCTATGATCGCATCACAATGAAGGATTCAGAATACAAATGGGGCAGAAAAAAACATTTACAGGTTTATTTGGCCAGAACATACCCCCTGCGTAGAGAGTCCTGAACCCCATAAGGACCCGCCTGTGGACACAGACCTGTCACGGGAACACTGTCCTTCAGCTGAGAGCGCAGGCCACGGGTATTCTGCATAAAACACATAGTATTATAGAAACATTCATTAAAGGAAGCTGATGTAAAAAAAAAAAAAATCACGTTAAAATGGCGAAAGCTCCAATGGATGACTTGGTAGCAGCTCATTCTTTACGCTTGAGAACCTATGATCGCATCACAATGAAGGATTCAGAATACAAATGGGGCAGAAAAAAACATTTACAGGTTTATTTGGCCAGAACATACCCCCTGCGTAGAGAGTCCTGAACCCCATAAGGACCCGCCTGTGGACACAGACCTGTCACGGGAACACTGTCCTTCAGCTGAGAGCGCAGGCCACGGGTATTCTGCATAAAACACATAGTATTATAGAAACATTCATAAAAGGAAGCTGATGTAAAAAAAAAAAAAATCACGTTAAAATGGCCTGAATGACTGTGAATGAGGCAGTTACCACATTACATTAACGCACATTTCAGTCTCTTCAGTTAAGCCTACAAACTGAAAGTAAGGCCATGACGCATCACAATTCATTTCGAAGCTAACAGCTTAGTAACAAAATAAATTCTGATATTTGTACATTTAAATACGGAAAATAATAAGACATCGAGGCATCAAAATGTAAATTATAACTACTTATTCTGTCCTGGAATATAAATAAACACGAGCTGCTGTGCTACGCTATATTAGCTAGCTAATTAACGGCACAACACAAATAAGCACTTTATTAACAGTAAATGCACGTTGCACACTGTATGAAGAGCAGAAAATTAACACACATCACCACCCTATAAAGTGCAACAAAAGAAAAGAAAACACTGAAGCTCTACACTACCATTTTCAAGCGACGTTCGTCTTTACGATCAGCATAAATTTACTTCCGGTCTTCTTCTTCTTCTTCTTTTTTTAACGGCGGTTGGCATCCAGCTTATTGGTGCATTACCGCCACATTCTGTTCCGGAGTGTGGATCAAACAGTAGGTTCACAATCTAATTCTATAGATGGTTACAAATGTTTGTAAGTGAACAGTCTTTATGGTTTCGTGTTCCTTTTCATCTTTTCCAAAGTATTGGAGGAATTTATTTTCTTTTAAGATGGGATTTTGACCCATTAATTAATTAAAACGGCCTTTGATTAGATATCAGATATCAGATTGATATCTGATTTTCATGTGCAGGTGTATTGGAAGATGTCGTACAAGCATAATTTTACTCCACATAATGTTATCATTTTGAATAACAGGTGTATTTTACATAAGAGGAAATCTTTATTTTATAAAGACTGGACCATTTTCTTTAGTTGTCAAAGCTATTCCTGTAGTTGTGAGGAATTTAATTAAAGGTATATTACAATATTCTTCTGTAATACCTACATACAATTGTTATTTCTTGGATGTTAAATGTAATAACAAGGTTTTGAGATCACTACAAAATAATATTTTTTAAGAAAGGTTTTATCTGAGAAGTTTTCAAAAGCTGACACTATCAAAGTTAGAACTAGATACCTGTCATTTCCTTTGCTACCTAATATGAAAGAAGTACACTTCAAAACTATCAGTGGTGTCTTAAATTTGGTGTTTTCATGCAAAACAAAGAGATTGAATTTCTGTGCAATAATAAGTAGATTGTAGAAGTTTTAGATACATAAATGTAGATTTGTTAAAGGGGTCATATGACGTTGCTAAAAAGAACATTATTTTGTGTATTAGGCCAGCGGGCTTGAGAACGGCGCGGCCGGCGGATTCGACGAAGGAGTGGCAACCACATGTGACGACCCCGGGCTGGACTCCGCTTCGTCCACGGTGAAAGCCGATCCGGCGATCCACAGCGTGCCACGAAGTTGATGTATTTCCTCAGCGACCAGCACGGATCAGCTCTAGGCATGACGAAGCGGATATCGTCCTCTTTTGGAAGGCCAAACAAAGTAGTTTCGCTTTCACAACGAAACACACAGCGTCTTAATAATAAATAATAATCAATAATAAATAAATAATAATCAATAAAACGATTAAAGACAAAGAGTGCCTTAAAAATCTCTAAACTTCTACCCCCCCAATTCATTTCATTTGTCTAATAATTTACTTTACATGTTTTGGTAATATTTTAACTTTTATTTATATACTTTATTTTTTTATTATTATTGTTCTTGTGTTTATGATATGCTGCTTGGATTTATTGTTAATGTGTTTAACAATGGAATGATGACAACGCCTGTTTGTTATTTTAAGGTTTAATAAAGTGATTTAAAACAACACCAACAACAATAACAAAAACAATCTAATTCTATACAATGACATGGGTATAGACAGGGCCGTCCTTAGCTGACGTGGGGCCTGGTGTGAGTTTGTGGTCCTCCTCGGTCCGTTCCCCATTGGGCCCCCTCAAGTGCGGGGCCCAAGGACGTACCAGGGTATAGAAGACGAGGGAGAGGAGAAGGGGGAAAATCCTTCTTATCCATCATAACCTATAATAAAGCCCAGCTTCCCTTAAAAAGACTAATAGAACTCTAACCTGTGCTCAGTATGTCATACTTAAGGCTGTTCTTAAAGTGAGACTCTACACCCCGAACTCCTTTATAATCTAAATTATTTTCCATCACCTCTTTCAGTGTCTTGTATTTTCTACAATGTAGAATTACATGCTCAACTGTTTCCTCTTATTGACACTCCTCACACAGGCCAGTTTTAATGTTTTATTTAGTGCACAATGCCCCTTGTTCCACTACTTATGTACTTCCGGTCTCCGGAAATACTGTTATCATGTGATCGCGACGTATGCAATGTTTTTGGTTGCTGTTTATTTAAAAAAAATGTTGTTGTTATTATTGACAGCATATACCATATCACGGAGCTATTTCGTTCAAATATACTCGTATAAATATGCTCAAATATACGTTCGTTCTATAATTCATTGCGCTGATCCTCAGTTAATTTCTAGTAGGTGTCTGTGTAGACTGGAATTATAGAAGGGGGTATAGCTCAGTGGTAGAGCATTTGACTGCAGATCAAGAGGTCCCCGGTTCAAATCCGGGTGCCCCCTCAAGAATTTTTTATTTTATGCCTGATGTCTTGGCTTAGTAAACATTGTGTGCATAACACATTTTCGTCATCAAATGGTACACACAAAGAAAGCCAGACAAAAGACACAAACTGTGACCAGTGGTGCCTGCAGCTGCACGCACCGTGCTTGCGCTCCGACTGTCCTGAGAACCGTTTCCCCCGCAAGTGTTTCAGCAGTTATTACGTGTGTCCAGTAGCTATTTCTGTCGATTGAACCAGCGATGCCAATCATTCCTGAATCATTTTTTTCCTTTTCAGTCAGTTGGCCAAACGTATCGAATTGGTTCGGACCGCTCTCTCGTTGAAGCGATTTCTCAATCAGTATGAGACACACAAGCGATTCAATAACCCATAGAACAAACAGCGCTGGATGGGTTGGTGATGGGAATACTTTTTTAGGGAGCCGGATCATTTGGTTCAGCTCGAGCTCAGCAATAAGAACCGACTCTTTCGGCTCTCAAACAGCTCTTCATTTAGTACACTATAATTCAGCTATATTTAGCAATGTTTTGAGCTATGACTGGTATGTGTGCACAAATATAATTTAAATTATTCAAAGTAATTATACTAAACACAAATGCCATAGTTTTACATTATCGTTTGTAAAAACCAAGAGCCGTTCGCGAAAGACACCCACAAAATGTTTAAACAAAAGGCTTGAGAGGTAAGGAAAACTGAAGAAATTCAGCCAGCGCTGTGAAATGCAAACAAGCAGCTATTCGCACCCAAAGTGTTTGCTCGCGATTTATTTCAAGCGTCTTTCTAACCGTAAGAGCTAGAAGGATGACCTTCGACCATTTCCGTTGCTTCTCCGCCCCGCAGTTGCTTTCTGGCCGTTCTCGTGTCCCGTTTTCTACGGATCGTTCTGCTCAGATGTGCCGTTGCTTTCACTGATTGTTTTGTCTCAAGAGTCTCTCTCGGGTTATAGAAGTGCGAAATAGTTGCATGAATGCTAGACATTCAAGACAATTGCAATTTATTTCAGTTATTTTGTTTATAACTGAGTCAAACGTCTAATTACACTAACATGTGCAAACAACTATTTTTTTCTTTTTTCTTTACATTTTCCCCCTGAACTATAGCTAAATAGGCTACATTAAAACAAAGCTAACAACCATTCAGAAAAGATACAATACAGCACTGGTATATTAGAACAGAAAGGTATAATCAAGTAATCAAATAAGTTTCATATTATACATTTTTTCAACCATTTATTAATTACAATTAGCCTACCATTGCCCAAAACCTACCCCAAAATATTATCCAGAGTCAAACGTGTAATAATTATTTGCATTTTAAGTTGTTGCTACATGTGAAAACAAAGTGAACTCAGGAAACGGAGGTGTTTGAGGTGTAGACTTCACAGTTAAAAAAAGGGGGCATTTCATGAATGCTGTGCAACAGGTCATCTGAAAACCTCTTGGTTATTTCCTTCTCTCTGCACCCTTCACCCACACACTCGTGGCACTTTCCTGTGCAAATTAAAATTGTATCATATACACTATTGTGTTACTGAATGTATTTGAACCTTAATACATTGCATATCCTAACATTTTTGCTGACACCAGGAACAATGCCTCAGGATACTCCAGGTAAGACTGATTTAATTTCATTCAACCACAACTTGGTTCTGCATTCATAAATTGGTATTAATTTCACTCAAGACCCTGTGCATGTATATTTACACCTTGCTTTAAACAGCCGTATACCATAGCAACATAATAGCATTTTTATTAAGGCAACATTAATTTAATTTTGTATTTAATTTTTGTTCAATTGCCCAGTGAATTTTTCTGCCATTGAAGAAAATGCAAGTGTTGAGAACAATTGCTCAGGCAAAGATCCTCTCATCAGTATTTCTATAGCACTGTGGCTTGCTGTCATCGCATCTGTCTTCTTTCTCTACTTGTACTGGAAGCACATCAAACTAAGGTATTATTCATTTGCTTCTTTTGTTTACATTATAATCTAGAAGAATTCCACTTATGTAAAGATGTTTCAGCATTTGCATATCAAATTAATTTTCCAGTGTCCATGTTTCATACCAACATAATTCAGAGATGCAAGAGAACAATTTACATTCCGAAAAAACTACTGATCATACAGTCCAAAAAGGCAAGCAACAATATTGTTAATTAAATTCATGATGGTCACAAAAAGTAACTTTAAAAGTATTAGAATTTGCAAAGTGCCATTTTATGCTTCATGTTGAAAAACAGCTAGTTTGTTAAGTTATAAAATGTTTGCAAATATTTAAATATTATAAAATTGCAAATTTTTTTGTGATACATTTTAAGAGATTGTTTTATTTTGTCACAGAGCTCGAACAAAGCGAAACAGAACAGTATGAATCTCTTATACACAGAAATGAGGGTAAGTGCACAATCTGAGATAAATGATCTGATAGAGCGACATACAAAGACATGTGCTGTTTATCTGGGACGCATTTTGTCAATTTGCATCTGTACACTGGAATCAAATCTACTTTAACATCAAAGACGAGATAAACCAAATACCTTTCACACTTTTGTTAGCCTCCACTCTAGCAATTCATACTTGAAATTATGCTGTTTTGTAGTAAATGTCTGATAAGTAAAACATCTTTTCTCCATTTAAAAGATAATTATGAGAGTCTGGACACAAAACAAGTGGAGTCCATCTCAGGAAATGAGGATTCTACCAGTGCCAAAGACTTCTAACCTGAAAGAACGCAATGGAGTAATACACATAATAACATATATTTGCTTGTTCTGGACACTTTTCCCCTCAACAAGAGGAAGGAGAAGATCGAGGGTTCTGAAATGGTGAGGAAAAAAGCAGGTGTATAAGACACTGAACACAAATGAATGACAACAGAGCCAGAG